GTCTGGTTTTTCTTATGAATAGCTAGTAGGAATAGGATGCCACTTTCCACTTCAAGACTTAGAGCCAAACAGCCTCCAGCCATCATACAATGCTGCCCGTTCCCATCACTTTGCGGCCCTATCGTATCGTAGCGTTGCTGAAATGTCGTGTTCTAGATTTTGGAATGGACACATCATAGATAAACAGGGAGTCGACGAAGCGGGTTTCCTAAATGTTTTAGAGCTATCGAAATATTGGAATGCCATTCAGTATGTTCTGATATTGCTAGAGTGGGACCGTTTATGCTTACGTGTTCTGCATCTCCTCATTTGTTATAGCAACCCCATTTGCATCTGAAAATGTTTTTAGCATTTTGTTGTCTGATTGTTTTTATATGCGGCTTGTTGCACTGAAAAGTTAGCCATATCACTGATATCAACTGTTACCTACCAGTAACACTATACTCTCTAACAAATCATGTGAATTCGGAGCTGATTTATTGTCTGTGCTTGTTTCTTCAGGATGTTGCTTATAAACCAGAGGAAATGTTTACCAAGACACATAAATGTGAGTCAGATGCTGGTGCTGATGTTGTTGGAGTTTGTGAAAGGTAAAAAAAAAAACTTTGGGACTCGATCCAGTTGATAGGTTGTCATCATCATTCGTCAATATTTCTGGGAGGGATTCCAATTGGCAGGTCTTCGTAATCACAGACCCACCATTTCAGTTTTAGACAGCTATAATCTGTGTTGTAGCACTTTTGGTGCGAGTTTATTACAATAGTATAACCCTTGCCGTATACATTTGTGTAGCATATACCATTTACTCTCATGGCCATTCATATCGTCAGACTTTCCCTCGATTTCTGCATCCTTCTTTATACATATTTTCAATGTCGTATAAACTAATGATGTCTATTTCATGAATATGGCTAGGTTATGGGATCAGAACGGTCACGTAATTGAGCAGACAGAGGTGAAACGCACTGGCCTTTGTCATCCTTATTTTATTATCTCAGTGTCTTGAGTAGTAGCATTATTGAACCAAACAGTTTTTGACCAAATAAACCGCGGATCTGATGGCTTTGGGGCTTTTCCCCCCTTTTTTTCCTCGCCTACGCATAGCTTTGGTCTTATATGACTTGCTAGGTGCCGGTGTGTTTTTGTGTTCGTGTGTTGGTGTTGGCTGTGTGCATCCTAGCTATGCAGAGGCCGGGTGTGTGCTCATAGTGTTTGTATCCTCTTGATGCTCCATTTTGAACCAATAAAATCCACCCTTTATTGATTTTTTTTTGAGAAAAATAAAGGCACATATGAAGTTCTTTTCAACGTGCTTGTGCAATGAATGCATCTGCATGTCATATACTCGTTTAGGGCATGTTTGGTTGCTGTTGTGAACAGTTCCTGCATCGCATACACTTCTCAACCCAGCCTGGTTGAGCTAAAACAGGGCCTAATACACCATCTGCAAGTTGTTTGGTTGCCTGCATGTAGTATCCCTGCATTAGGTAATACGCAAGTGCACTTTGTTTGGTTGCCTGCATTGGCCCGAGCGGCACATGAACACGGTGTTTGGTTGCATACGGCCTACATGTTGTGCTTACCTTGTACCCTAGTTGGTGAGCTTACCCACACCTAGCACACCAACGCCACAGCACAGCAATGGCGATGAACTGGGCGAAGATGATGAAGTTCTTCAGCTTTAGCCCAAACTGACGATCCACCTTGACAACTCCAACCTTGCCACTGTCAACATTACTGTCGTGCTTTCGCACCCACTCGGAGTAAGCTTGTTCTGCTGCCTGCCTAGTCTTGAACCCTCTATGGGTGCTGTTGCTATACGATGCCACTTGCGCACTGGCTTCTTCCCATGAACTATAAACCCCTGGGACCTTACCGATGAACATGGCATACCACTTGCCCTAGCAATGCACAAGAGCAAGAGTTGAAGCAGCAAATCAATGGAGCACACAAGTAGCAAGCAAAGTAGCACACAAACAACAATGGAGCAGAAAAGAAGTAAAGCATGCATGCATGATCATACGTCATAGCAAGTTCTTCCTAGCACTACCTTGGTGTTAACCTACCACCACATCCAAAAGAGGGTGCGTCCTACCACCGCAAGTTCACCATCAGCGTGAGGGGTTAGTATATACCACCTCACCAAAATATACAGACCATCAAATAGTTTTTGAGCCCTAGCTACACAAAATGTACGTCGTCATCGTCATCATCGTCGTCGTCGCCATCCCCGTCGGGGATCATGCACGCTCACAGGCAGCACTACTCTAGTAGTAGTGCTTGCCCAGCCAGCTCCTGAGCCATAGCACCCTGTGAGCATCGGCCATGGCAACGAACCCAACACCCTGGGCCTTGTTGTCAAGCAGGTGGCTGAGAGCTGCCATGAGAGCCTCGTCGTTGAAGCCACCCTGGGTCATGACAGCCCATACAGGTCAGGGTGGACGCCGAGGGGCTTGCACTCCCTGATGGCTGTTGCCACCTCCTTCATCGCCTCAGTCATGCTGCAAAAGACATTGATCTACTCCATCAGGCCTCCTCTCTTCCTCTTCCTATCATGGACGGGCTCAAATGGCTTGTCGAAGGGCTTCGCAGTGGGCTTGTCAGGGCCATCAAGGACCTCGACGTCCGGGGTCCTAGGGAAGTCTGGCATGGGAGAACCAAGAGGCTCCCCCGAGCCCATGGCATGCTTCCCAGTTGCCAGCCCGAAGGAGAAGATGTGTTGCATCTGGCTGTAGTTCTGTATGGGTGTGTTAAGGAACTCAGCGTCCCTTGGGTGGTCCTAAAAA